GTTTAGGGTTTAGGGTTTAGCGAAGCTTCCGGCTCCCCTTAAACTCTTCTTAAACCCTTATTAAACCTGATTAAATCTTTTGCAACCCAATTAAACCTGTCAACTGACCGGGGAATCGGGGGTGCATGGAAATTTTGTGGCTGCGAACCTCCCACATACTGAGGCGGTGACAGGCATTGGGGCTTAGGGTTTATGGTGTATTGTGAGCCCGAAGCCCTTAACCCTTGATTAGACGCCTACCCCCAAACCCCAAGCCCTAAACCTNNCCCTAAACCTTAAAGTAAACCCTAAACCAGAAGCCCTAAACCCTAAACCCTACACCCTAAACCCTAAACCTTAAAGTAAACCCTAAACCAGAAGCCCTAAACCCTAAACCCTGCACCCTAAACCCTAAACCTTAAAGTAAACCCTAAACCAGAAGCCCTAAACCCTAAACCCTAAACCCTAAACGAAACAAAAAAGAAACCCCCAGCTCGAAAGGCTTGGCAGCCTGGGCCCAAAGGGCTCAAGAGAGCATGGAGGCAATTTCCGAGGCAAGACTTTGGGTTTAGGTTTTAGGGTTTAGGGTTTAGGGTTTAGGGGTTTAGGGTTTAGGGGTTTAGGGTTTAGGGTATAGGGGGCTTTGGCTTCAGGGGTTCAGAGCTAAGGGTTAGTTTAGTAGGAATCGGCATAATTGCCGATACGATTAGCACAATGTGCCCCAACATCTAGATCTAGTCCTTCGGGACTCTTGGGTCATCGAAGTTTCAGGCAAGGGTTTAGGGTGCAGGCTATCATGTTCGAGAATCGCCACATACAAGGGCCCCGCCTTTAGGGCTCCAAATAGTCTGGTCTTGATCGTGAGGACGCCTGGAAAAGGAACCTCAATTTTTCTGAACCCTCAACCCTAAAGAAAGACAGCTGGTCCAAGACAGAGACAGGGCCTTTAGGAGGCGTTAGGGCCGGTTAGCGTTTAGAGGTTTCGGGTTTCGGGGTTTTGGGTGTCGGGTTTAGGGACACAGGGGGCTGCCGCACAAAGCGCAGTCCGCCTGCATTTCCGTACACAAAGGTTCTCTAGGCCCTTTGCAGCAGCTTCCAGGCGTATGAACACCCTAAACCCTAAACCCTAAGCCCTAAACGGGGTCTTGGGCCCGTTGGGATGGATGGAGGTGACCCGACTAAACCCTTCCCAAGCTTCAAGAGCTCCCTAAACCCTAAACCCCTAAACTAGGCCCGAAACCCTAAACAGAAGAGCTCCCAACCCTCAACCCCAAAACAAGGCCCGAAACCCTAAATAGAAGAGCTCCCCACCCTAAACCCTAAGCTAGGCCCGAAACCCGAAACAGAAGAGCTCGCAACCCTAAACCCTAAGCTAGGCCCGAAACCCTAAACAGAAGAGCTCGCAACCCTAAACCCTTAGCTAGGCCCGAAACCCGAAACCCTATGTGGCCGGGCACGCAGACTCCAATGCTTCTTCTTCAAGTCCATGAGCGAGGGGTTGCCTGATTTGGGTTTAGGGTTTAGGGTTTAGGGTTTAGGCAGTGAGGTGGGCTCGGTCGCCGCACAGAAATGGGGCCATTGCACATAAAAATAAGCCCTAAACCCTAAACCCTAAACACAAGAGCCCCCAACCCTAAACCCTGAGAGCTCCGCTTCTCGAAGCCCGAATGATTACTCGATGCATTTCCCTGGCCCCCTCACTAAATGTACAAGCGGTTGTAGGGTTTAGCGTTTAGGGGGTTTAGAATTGTGATATACCCCAAAGCCCTGTTCCAAC